TATGGAATGTGACTTTGCACCACATTGATTGGAATAAAACCACATTGTAATGGAAATGTGCAGTTTCTTTGTAACCATCCTTTGCGTTTCAAACGTTTTATATTTTTTATCGCCACATTGATTGGAATAAAGTGGCACTTTGATCAGGAAAAGGTATAGTAGTTGCAAATACTATTAACGTTAATAGTACTTTGTATGTACTGTAATAGTTAATGTGGTTTTGGTCCAAATTTCCGAATGATCGCCGCCAAATCACGAATAGCGACGCTATTGGCTAATCCAAATTTGAGGGGATCGGATTGGCTATTGCAGTATACATATCAGCCAATCAGAAGTTCCAGTGATACTCTAGCAACCCAAGCAAATGGTGATTGATTCCCAAGCTGGTTTTGATTATTCGGCAATGTCCATGAGCCCAATCAAGTCGGCCACTTCGTCTTCTTCAAAGCCTGGCGCCGACGGCACAGTCGTTTGTCGCCACTGGACGAGATCGATGGGCGTCGGCCCCTTGACGGCGCACACGATGCGATTGACGTCGTGCTCGGACGCCTTGAGCTCCACCACGTGGGCAGTCGAGCCAAAGATGCGGCGCAGACTGCCCACAATCGCCTTGTTCTTTTCACTCGACCGGCACGCCACGTTGACAAGGAACACACCGCCGTCTCGCAAGGCCGAATGGACATTCTACAAATGACCATCATCACGCTGCAAATATATATATATAGCCAAGCTAGAATCAATCAGAATATATATATATATAAACACGCACGGCAAGGGTCGTGTCCGAAAGAAATGCCAACGGCGGCGCAGTCAGCCCCAGCGCCTTTTCTTCGTCCGATTTGGCGTCCACGTCCACAAGGATCGAGTCGTACGAGGCAGGCGCTACAACAATCATATCACATACATATGTCATGATGATAATATAATCGAAATACAATGTATTGTGCTTTTCACTCGTTTTGGCTATTCACACCATAATCCTGGTTGTTTGTTACATCGACCCCAGTGTTTTAGATCATCCGTACCGTGATTTAGGATCACGTTTCGTTACAGAATGTAATTATAGGGAGGTCATTTATGCAACTCCCTCGCTTTTGCACATGTGAAAAGTGCAAATCGAAGTTATATCTGCTATTCTCGGGACCAAATTCACAATTCACTGGTCATCATGAACAACTTTTGATAATACAAATGACACACAGCGAGGACATGCGCCTGTGTTCTACCGTACAGCGATGTACGTATGGTGCCACATCGTAGAAAACCACGCCAACTTCTTGTTCCATCGCATAGTACATGCAGGTAGCGCGTACTACGCGATGGAATAACAGCCAAGGTGTTTTGGTCACTTCAGCATCACATGTGATTATTATTGCTCAGAGTTATTAGGTATTTATAAAACCCCAGTGAATTAGCTAAAACACCAGGTATTTATTCAACTTTGTAACACAGTTACAGCAGATGTACCACTCTTTTAGCCACGTAAAACCGACGCCAAAACAAGTGCAAAGCACAATATATATATATATATAAAGGCACAAAAATATAGTACCTGCGTCTTGCAGACACACGAGCCCGTCTTGAACGACGACATCGAGGTGGTGGTTGGTTTGGAAGCCAAAGAAGTCTTTGGCCAGCGTCACCACCGACGGATCCAACTCGCATGCTGTGAGTGTCACCGATGGCATCGTGGCCTGCACGTAGCTGGCTAGGCAGCCTCCCCCCAGTCCAATGAGCAGACTTTTGTGGTGACTATTGGCAGTCGACAGCGCCACCGTGTAATGCAAGATCGCCGCCATGCTCTTGTGGTACTCGAACGCCAAGTACGTCGCATCGAAGCGAAGGCGGGTCGTACCTCCCTTCTTTTTGTTCTTTTTGGCCTTTTCCTTCAATTGTTTCGCTGCAACCAATATATATCCGTTATATGAGACGTGGAAATACAATTGGCGAGAGGTCGGGTGAGAGAAATAAATATATTAAAGAAACAAAGCGCAAATCAAACGCGAAATGGTGGACGCCTTGAGAAAAATATATTGGGCATTTCGTGCAAATTTGCCAATTTCGGGGGATTGTTGAAAAATCACCAAGAAACGAGCAAAAGAGTATGATTGGATCAAAAGGATGAAGGTTGCAATATGATTGGCTTGATTCACAAAGATAGATACCTTTCGACTTCGCTATACATTATATTTCGCAGGTCCAGTGAGGGTCATTCAACCACCCGCCCGAGGAAATTGAACACATGATACAAGGCAGAAACACAACCCAATGATATTTCCCACTAGTTTTTGGATGTAGTAGTAGTAGGTAGTACCTGTGAGCGGCGGCAAGAGGCGGATTTCACTCTGGATCGTGTTGTTGTTGCTGAGAAAAACGAGGCGTCGGTGCATGTCGACTTGTTCGATCAAGTAGTCGCCACTGAGATCGGTTGTGCCATTTCCAATGACGTGGCGCTCTCCCAGCCCTTCCTGCACCGTCATATACGGGATTTTCTCGTCTTTCGCGGCGCTATCGGGGCACAACTCTAGCATTTTCGGGTTCAACTCGAGCTGCACCGCTTCCAAGCTCTCAAATGTGTGCGTGCGGCCAAGACTGACGATCAGAAACCGACTAAAGCCGGCGCCGGACGCCAGCTCCATCGCGCCTTCGTCCGTGGCGAAGAGGAACTCGTGCTCTCGACCTTGGGGCACGAGGAAGACGCCGCAAGTGCCGTTGGGACCACGCGCCTGCACGTCTACGAGGCGGACGATGTAGCGGGGTGTCGTGTTGAGGGCGGACGTCGACGCCATGAGTTCGATGAGGCGCTGCCGACCCACTTGGATCTGCTTGAGCTCGTTCTGGGACATGATAAACCACTGCGTGGCCTCGACTTGGTGCCGCAGCCACTGCGCCCGCAACGCGCCAGACTCGTGGACGTACGTCTTGCCGTTGTACTGGACCATGGAGGATGACGTGGACTTGGTGAACACGATGAAGAAGGGCACGAACGGCGACGTTTTGGATCGCGGCACCTAGGACAGATGATCGTGTGAACGACGCAACTTACGACATGACTTGGGGTGATCGTGTTTACTTCAGTGATGGTGATCGTGTACGACGGCAACACCTCGGAGAACGCATGCAAGACATGCTTGAGGATAAAGTCCTGCGCCATCGTGATGCATACATACGATCCACGAGGCGCGAGGACGCGATCGACTTCGTGAAACATCTTGACGGCATCCGCGAGGACTACAGACCGACCCATCACATACTCGCGTTGTTGTGTTGGCATGAGAGAAAGGCCGGACGGTTGTACCTGGAGCGTCGTCCGTGGCCATGAGCGCATCCAACGCGCCCTTGTCCATCACGCAGTCGAAGGACGCGTCGGTGTACGTCATCTTGGTCATGTCCATGACATCCCACTGCATCGACGGGTGCTTGTGACGCATTTCGTCAATTGCCAACTCGCTGAAGTCCATGGACGTCACGTGGGGGTATCCGTCCTTCGTCCAATCGGGACTCAGGTCCGAGTTCCCGCAACCCACGACCAAGATGCGATCGCTGGGCTTGACAGACTTGTGCAGTGCCGGGCGGAGCGCCGAGTACTCGCCATACCATTCGAACGCCTTCTCTTGTCGCTTGGTGAAGAACTCGTCCCAATACTCCTTGCGGCGAAAGTCCGCGTGTTGGCGAGGAAGCAGCTCCAACTACACAGAGCACTTCAGTCATATGGTGCACGCACATTCCCACAGCATGCAAGTGTCGACGCACCTGATCGGTCATGGCGAAAATGACAATCGGCTTGAAACTGTTGGCTTATGCAATTCCACTGGAAATCTCCGCTCAAATTACCCACAGCTATCCGGATAACGAGGTTGTCTGGGTTAAACCTTATCCGGGATTCCATTTCTTATCCGGAGTCTAATTTTACGTCAAAATGATGCCGATGCATTTATAGCTCGCGGTGTGTGTGCCTGTCCCTCGTTTTAACGACCATAAACAGATTTTGGCATACCAATAATCAGGTACAAGGTATGAAAGGTGCTTAAACAGAGGTGAATGATTAATTCGTTTAATACGTCAGGGTATAAAAATTATCCAAGCCCCAAGACAGCAACCCCAACTCACATTCGCGCGAGTCAGTGCACTTCTGTCTCATGGAAAGCGAAGCGATTGGCGCCGGTAATGGAGAAGCGTCTGTCACACCTATCGCCCCCGTACGTGGTGCATGCATGGAAGGGTCTTTCCAGCCGCTAACACTCAGGCCAGCCATGGTCCCATATGTGTGTGTGCAGCCCGATCTTTTATGGCTGGATCAATGATGTCATCATCCCCACTTCGTACAGAATGAAACATGCTTGACGATGCCGCGAACACGTAGGAGGCAAGCCCAAAGTCAAATGTGTTCAAGACCGCGTTGAAAAACTTGAGCAGCGGCACGAAGAAGGAAAAGACGAGCAACATCTTGCAGTCTGCGACAACAGGCTTCTTTGGTCGCAAGAAGGCCTCGTCGAATCCGCCGTTGTTCCCTGGATCGGTCAAGCAAGCTTCGTTCTGCGGGGCCCAGCTCCCTCCCGTGTGGGCGACGCCTCCGCCGGCCGTGAAGCATCTCCATCCCACCGACGACACCAACGCCAAATCGAACGACACGACGACCGTGCCGGGGCCACGCAACGCCGCTGGGAACTTGCGATCCGAGCAATTCGCGGCCCTGCTCAAGAGCGACAAGGACTCGGTGGACTTGGAGCGCCTGCGCGAGCTGAGCTGGGGCGGCGTGCCCGTGGAGTTTCGGCCGCTGGTGTGGAAGCTACTCCTGAGCTACGTACCCGCGCACAAGGACCGCCGCGACGCCATGCTGACTCGAAAACGCAGTGAATACCGCGACTTACTGCACCAGTACTACTACATCCCCGACACAGATCGCGGGATCAAGGAGCAGGAGACGCTGCATCAGGTACTGCTAGTATTACTAGATGACAGGAGTAGTAGTACTATCCTCGTTCTGAGTACTATGTGGCGTAGATTCTCATTGACATTCCCCGGACAAATCCTGACGTGCCACTGTTTCAAAACCCGACTATTCAAAAGGTCCGATATATATATATATAAAATAGATATATATATATATCGTATTCCTGCTAATTTTGCATGCGATCTATAAATATATGGCGAGTTCATATATGCTTATCATGTCGACAGAGCATGGAGCGGACGTTGTACATTTGGGCGATTCGGCACCCAGCCAGCGGCTACGTCCAGGGCATCAACGACCTCTTAACCCCGTTCGTGACCGTATTCTTGTCATCCTTTTCTGGTAAGAATCATCCGTAAAACAACGTTAAACAACGTAAAACAACGTTAAACAACGTAAAACAACGTTGTGATCTGTATAGACGACCCCGAACGATGTGACATGGCGACGATTTCGGACCAAGTGATGCAGGACATTGAAGCCGACAGTTACTGGTGCCTCACTAAGCTCTTGGACGACATCCAGGTAGGTGTGCACGTATGTGTGCACCCAATTGACATGGATGGACGAGGTAGGACCACTACACATTTTCGCAGCCGGGGCTGCAGCGCATGGTGCAGCGGATGGAGGACCTGGTGCGGCGGTGCGACGGCGACCTGCACGGGCACATTGTCGAGACGGAGCAGGTGCAGTTTGTGCAGTTTGCGTTCCGGTGGATGAACTGCCTTCTCATGCGCGAGTGTCCGCTGGGCGCGATCGTCCGCCTCTGGGACACGTACCTGTGCGAAGAGAGCGGCTTCGAGAGCTTCCATGTGTACGTGTGTGCGGCGATTCTCATGACGTTTGGCGACCAGTTGAAAGAGATGCAGTTCCAAGACCTGGTTTTGTTTCTGCAGAAGTTGCCCACGAACGAATGGGCTGAAGACGACATTGAGCCACTCCTGTCACGTGCGTACATTTTGCAAACGTACTTTGCCGACGCCCCCAACCACATTCCCCATAAATAACCAAAGAGAGTAGCAACTACTAGGATAATAGTACGAACTGGACGACCGTGTTGACACTGTGAATACAACTATGAATAATACTATTAATAGTATTACTACGAAGTAGTTTCGGCAAACTATGAACACTATAATATAATTGTTGAATTAACAATGACATTACTGGTAGCTATCACGGATATTTGAAATCCATCTAAGCGTGATATCCGGATAATCTGTCGGTTTCACTTGGAAACCCCTTTGCAAAGCGGCATTGAAGCATGACGTACTTGCAAGAAACGATCCGATGCAAAGGCTCCAAGATCTGTAGTCCGTTTGTGCGTGAAGTGGGGGGCAAGTCCATTGTGGGCTACGTGTCGAGTGGCACTGGAGAAGTGTACGCCGTGACCGAAGGAAAGCATGTCGTGTGGACGCAGACGGGCGGCGAGCCCATGGGCGCGGCTTTCGACAGCCAAGGCAAGCTGCACGTGGCCGATTGCGCACATGCCGCCATCTTGAAGGCCGACGTGTCTGTTCACAACCACCAGCCCGGTTTGGTCGTCAAAGTATACGAAGAAAAGCCGTTCAAGGTACTAAATATCATCGCCTATTGTCGTGACGCTTATATAGCCGTGTCCAGGGACCGAGCAGCCTCCAAATTGCAGCCACGGGGGTCGTGTACTTTACCGACAGCGGCCCGTTGGGGGAAACGACGCTGGCCCAGCCCAAGGGCAGTGTGTTCTGCATCGCTCCAGGCCCCACCGGCGGCCAAGTGCTCAAGCCGTTGGCGCTCGATTGTCTCGCGCATCCTTGTGGCGTGGCCGTGTCGCCCAATTCTAAATCCATGTCCGATATGCTTCATGTCAAATCCACACACCCCTGATGCCCACACATGTAGTTATGTGGCGGAGATGATGCTCAACCGACTGCTGCGGTTCGTGCAGCGACCACTGGGTATTTACCACTGCAGCGTGTTCCATCAGTTCGCAGGCGGGATGGGTCCATCCTCGGTCGCGTGCGACGCCGACGGACGCATCTACGTTGGCACGTTCGATGTGGCGGGTACTAGTATTACTAGCGACCAACTCCCAGTGTACTAACCTCCAATAGGCTCGGATGGAAACGGGAAAATCTACATTCTATCGTCGTCAGGTGCCGTCGAGCACGTGCTCGAAGTGCCGGGCACCGAAATCACAGGCATTTGTATCGAGTACGACCTCGTTCGTGATATATATATATATATATATATTTATGTATGTATGTATATACATATATATATATATTTATGTGATATATATATATTTATGTGATATATATATATATATTTATGTATATATATTTATGTATTCGTAATCAGCCTCCTTCACGTCTGTATCGCATGTAGGCCATCGACCCGAGCGCTGTTTGTGACGGAAGCGTCGGGGAATTCGCTGCATTGCATTACGCTGGACGCCATCTTTCGATGAAGAATCATAAACAAAATAAAACTTGTGTGTATATATATATATATGTAGATATATATTGATAGAATCGATTACGAATAAACGAGTTGGTCGTTACGACGACGATGTATGCGACGACGATGTATGCGACGACGTCGAGGGGTGGTGGAGGCCTTGGAACAGCTCGCGCAGCATCGCATCCACGTTGGCGGGGGTGTACTTGACGTACTTGTCCATGTGCTTCTTGGAGAAATGCACGACCGAGTACCTACAGCCACCGCCTTGTCTATATCGATAACTCCAAACCGGCCAACGTACTTGTCATAAAAGATAGTGTAGCTGGGCACAATGCGCTGCAACGCCGATGCCATCAACGTCTTGCGCAGGTCGGCGTCGGGAACCGTATACGATTTCTACTCCACGACATACACAACAACCATATATATATTTATATATATATATATATATCACGTCGTCTTCGTACTGGCAACAAAAACAGCACGAGAACGGATCATACCTGGTTGGCCACCACTTCGTCCAACGTGGCATTGAATTTCTACACAAAATATTAATATATATATATATATGTTTATATATATATATATTTTATTATTTTTTTTTTTCGACAGGTCATACACCCACCGTGAACTTTTCTTTGACGAGGCGGCCGCTGTCCAATGTAAGCACGTCGCTGTTGCGGTTGTACTGCAACTTGGTCGTCGGGTCGGCCAAAATCGCGTCAAATTCGTCGTAACTACTGAGTCGATTATCGATCATTCAAATTGTTTGTACATTCCCACCTCAAGTGCATAAAGTCCTGGATGGCCTTGTCGCCGAGCGCGGCTACCTTGGGCTGGATCGTTTGCTGGAGGGCTGCTGTGACGACTGCTTGAGCTGGGGTATGCAGGTCCTGGCCCAGCTGTTTGAGCGACTGGGATATGTACATGACGTTGTTGAGAGTAAACAATGTCCGCAGGTCCTCCCGCCCGCCTTTGATCACATTTGACGCTTTCAATGACTCGATCAACTTCATCACGATGGAATCTATCACACATCCATATTAGTAACCCATATCTGTACTACAATAGAGGCAGCAAAATACCCCGCCAACAGCCACACTGTACACATATAAACTGTGCAATCTGTGACAGTGTCAAGATATGAACGATGCAATGGAGCAGCAGCAGCTGTGACAACATACCTACAAAGTAGGCGACGTTGGTCGTCTGGTCCGATTTCAGCAGACACTCGAGTTCCACGACGTGGTCGCACAGGTGGCGCACGAATTGCATGACCTGGCCACTCCAGCGTCATATATAACAGTGTCACATATCGTAAAAAACGGAGACGTCGTACGTTGCTAGACACGGGGTGCACGTTGCCGTCCCTGAACCGTCCGAGTTGTTTATCCTGCATGAGTGCATCGCCGATATCGCTTTTAAACTGTGACAGCGTCGACTTGGCCGCCACCGCCAGCTCGTCCTCCATCTTGGCCACGATCCCCACCAGTTTCCACGGGTCCGCCGTCTCCACGCCCGGGTGTTCTCGCAGTCGCAGCGGTGGCTATCATCTCTCAATGATTATTCAAAATTATCAGGAAATATTAACATGATAATTTTGGTCAGCGTACTTGCAACGCATCCTGGAACGCCGCGCTTTTGGCTTTGAACAAATAATGCAAGTCCAGTGGACGAAACACGTCATCTTTCGACAGCGTACTAGTACTAGTAGTACTACTAGTAGTAGTACTAGTACTGCGATGGGGGGTGCCCCTTTTCACGTCGTGGGTCAGCGTTTCCAAGAGCGGTGCGATCGTATAACTCAACGCGGCATGGCTCAAGTCTTCGGTCGCAAACACTTTGGTCGCCAACCCCTTTTCCACCTAGTAGTAGTACACGTTAGTAGTACTAGTAGTAGGTCTAGTGGGTGGGTGTACCTTGATCACATACACGACCATGTCAAGGTATCGCCCGATGGATTCCTTCATATGCTGGGCCGTGGATCTAAACCCAAGCGTGTGATTATCGTGGTCGAGAAAATATACATAAATAATACTAATTTCAAGACGAGAATATATATAAATAATACTAATTTCACATAATCCAGCAGAAAACAGTACATGTCGGCGGGGGGAGTGGCGGGGTTGGCGTCTTTGAAGAAGTCCTTGATGTGCTTAAGCCGCTTTTCGCCGTATTCGACCAGCAATTGCCGCGGCACGAGTCCCGTGCCCAGCAAGCACTGGACGAGGGCGTTCACCTTGGCCACGTCGGCATCGCTGGGTTGGGAAGCAGTGACAACAGGCTCATGCTGGGCCTTCCCTTGGTCAATCGACGGGTCGTTGTCGTCTGGGTCTGACGAGACTGGAGAGGTCATGGCATACCGACAGAAGAGCCCGATGTCGTTTACAATGTCCGATTTGCACTTGACCTGGGCCAGGTTGAGCACGTGGCGCGCCTGCTCGAGCGCCTTTCCGCAGCCTTCGTACCCCCGATGCGATTCCATGAACGAAATGGACTCGAGGAGGCGATGCATCGCCTTGAAGTACTCCGCTTGATCGTACTTGGCCCCTTGGTGCAGCGTTGGCGCCACCTGGACGGACTTGTGACGGCGACAGGGACGACGATGGCGTACCTCTGTTGCGGTCGCAAACGTCTCGTTCACAGCCCGCAGCTCATGCACACTCAAGTCGATGTTCTTTTGCGTCTCTCGCAGTTTCTCGGTGAGGTTGTATATGGGCATCATCTGACCTTCCAGCCGATCCAACCCACACTTGAACCCGGTGAGTACACTGTTCACCGTCGACAGCTGAGTCTATTGTGCACACAACGCCATCGTCATCGTCACAGCCAGATGAGCCATGCGCACGTCACTACCTTGCTGTCCATCAACGCACGCCGTATTACCGCGATGGGATCACTCCCTGGCGCCGCTGCTGCACCGCCTTCGACCATCATCTGTCCAAGATACAAACCCCCCAAAGATACTCTGAAAACGTTGACTCGTGATTTGCAGGCACGAAAATTAATTAAATCTTCTACCAATCACTTGCTCTTTGTATGCAAACAGTCAATCGAGTAATAAAACACAGGTTGAACCACACCTTCCCACTAAGTTTAACGTTACTAGTACTAAAGCGTCATGAGCACCAGCAGTTCGAGCGGTCGAGGTCGACGGGATCCCGACCCACGCACAGAATTCTCCGTCCCGCAGCCCAAGCGTGTGTGTTCGGGCGTCGCGAAGGCGGTCAAGGTGGTTGATGCCGCTTCCGCCATCGAGCGCGTGCTTGACAGGCGCAGCTCATGGCGGCCGATTGATCCCGATACGATGTCACCCAAACATTCGCTCCAGGAGAGGCTTGTGAACATGACACTCATGCCTGAACCTGCCACCACGCGAGATGCCGACGACGACCATCGAAGTAGCCCTCGACACAAGTCGTCCGACTCGACCGCGTCGTCATGTACCGAGTCCATCCAGCGCCGTAGCGCGTCGACGTTGGCTGTGATTCACCCCCCTGCTATCGATGACGAGACAGAAGCCATGCTGCGATGCTGCTCGTCCACGTCATAGTTACGGCGCACGAAGTGGTCAGCAGGTTTGCATGCAGCTATTTATTCCACCTAAATCGACTACACTCCCTTTCCATTACGTGTGTCATACCTAGCATTCTCATCTACGGCCGTGTCGACTACACTAACTCGTCTTGTTCATGTCGAGAAGTCGGTGGGGATGAGATGTCATAACACGGAAGCATCACACGAAGACCTTGCAACTGCGCAAACGTCGGTACAATCTCTTGGATGACATTGCTGTGTTCCGCACAGTCTCCTCCCCATACATGACTCGTCCACTTCCATATATGCGCCTACATGACGACAATACATCAATTAGCAGTTAGTTGACTTGATTCAGATGGGGGTGCTGTACCTGCTCCATGGTCCTGGCTAACACGAGCACTTGATGCTCCAGCATGGTCAATGTCTCGGCGGATGTCGAAGTTGGACATGCCACCACAAACCCACGCGCATGATACGAATGATCCAAGGCATCGAACGAACTAGACGAAATGGTCAGGTCATATATCCGTGCATACATGACGGGGCCTGGTATTACCAATTGAGCACGATGCGATGGGAGTGGGTGGTCAGAGATAGCAGTGCCACGTACATGCGGTCGTGACGATCTTGATTGTCGTTCGTCTTGAAGAATTCCATTTTTCATCAGGAATATACTACGGATCGTCCACTCGTACAGTGTTGTGAGCGAGGAGGTCGGTGGGAGACAAGGAAAGCAAGCCGTAGATGACATTGGAGTCGAAAAGGGCGGACGGAAGCGACCGGCGGGGCGTCGACGGACGTAGCACGTGGCCATCGAGGTCGTGGACGACGATTTGAACGACTTGCGACGATGGAAGCTCAAAGGTCGTTACTAGTCGCAACAGGACATAGATAGTAGAAGAATGGCCACGGTAGTTCAGTAGTACCTGTGGACAGCAGCATGTGTTGAAACTGAACGATGGGGAAGGTATCTAGGTTCTCCAGCAGCTGGACTCGATCAGTGGATCAATAGCTGGAGGTATATACAATATTTCGACGGCCCACGTACTCGAATGGGCGCTGTGCTTTGCATCGGATCTTGCATCGACGGCAGGCTGGGTCGGTATCCAAGAAGCCCAAGTGCAAAACAGCCAAGGGACAGGGCTGCCATTCTCTTCCAGAAGCGCAGTGCCCACACTATCGTCGATACATCGTGGTGACGATCGTCAGCGGTGCAGCTCTCTGGCTCTATGGCGCTGTTGACATCTTGGTGTTCATCCAAGCCATCACGATGGCGCCGCCGATACATCGCTCTAAGATACGATTCACGGAACGAACTTCCAATTTTGACCAATGAGCATTGAGCAAGATTTATACGAAGTTCATATGAGTTCAAATTATTAGCCAATCAAAACCTTCTCACTGAAATTCAACTAATCAGATCGATTGTGGATCGGTTTGGTCGGCTCCCCAAATTTGTGGAAAATCATGTGGATTCTGGGTGCAAAATCACTGTATAATAACACTAAAAGTACTTGTACAAATTTCCAGACTCCCGTCGAATCGAATCGATGCTACCATATTCAATTTGAGTGGATTTGATTGGCTCTTGCAGAAAAGTGCCTCGATAGTGATATCAATATATTAATACCTGGTACTATTATTAATAATACTAGTAGTATTGTGCTTTGCACCTTTTTTGGCAATTCCAGGGTTAAATTCATTGTTTAAAAATCTCTCAGGCTTAAATAATGTCTAAAGTAACTTGAATAACGGTTGGGTGCGTTGTTTAAAGTTACTTCATCTAATGCGATGATTGGTTGGTTGAAGGTGGTTTTACTGGCACTTTCGTAAAACAAGTTGTTTGCCGTTTTCATTCTGGCAAACAACTTGCTTTACGTCAACATATCAAGGTGCTTGACGCAATGAAACTGAAGGAGCTATGGCCACATACATGACCTCCCATCCGTGATCACTACAGTACTATCATTATCTACTCCGAGTAATGTATATAACGTTAGGGATATAGTTAGGCTACAGTACATGTAGTCGTCGCTCTGTCCAATGATTCAAAGCTATGTCATACCTTCAACTCTTGATCTGCTCTAACCTTAGCACTGTACGTGGAAGGCAATGGCGCACTACGACTACAT